AGACGTCGTCGTCATCTGCATCCTCGTCTTCATCTTCATCCTCCTCCTTCCGAACATGACGTTTCCTCTCCCTCTGCCGATGAAGAAGGTCCGGAACCGCTCCTTCATTCTCTTCATCCTCTCCTTCCTCATCAGCGAGACTTCTCTTTCTTTTAAACCTAATCCTAACTCTACTCGGCTGAAGCATACGGCGACGAACTTCAGACTTTCGCGCTCGCGTTCGCGATCCCCTTTCGCCCGTAGGACCGCTTCCGAAAATCACGAAATCGCGGACCATTCCGCGGACCATTCCGGGGTCCGCGAAGCAACGTGTCCACAAGACCGCGAATCGACAGGTCGGGTCCGATAACTCCGACAAGCCCCTGCCTGTGTTCGTCCCACGAGGGACATACCGCGACCGTGTGCTCGACGTCGTCCCCGGGACGTCCATCGTCTCCTCCCTGCCGATGCGCGTCAAGTACGAGCCGAACACTCCGTGACCCGTGAAGACCAGAATAAGACGATAAGTCAAGTTTCCGTGATTCCGTCCCACCCAGTCTCCCACTCGGGGGCCCAGGTCGACGACGATTTCGCCGCCGTACCGTTTCCACCCGTCGTCGAAACGCGCCTGCCACTCTCGGACCGTGCGATCGCGAGTTCCCCGCGGAATCGGGCTCTCCTCGGCCCGCCGCGACCCCGCTCGCGATAGAGGACGAGTCTCTCTATCGCGAGCAGATCGAGCGGGGGAGTGCCCGATAAAAGGCAAACCACCTCCGCCGCGACGTCCCTGTACGCCGTCGCCTCCTTGTTCAGAGACGCTCTTTGGAGTTGAATAGCCCTCTCGCGAAGCGGCCGCGATGCCGCAACCGATTCGGCCCTCACCGGTGCTCCGTACAGGGGCACAGAGTGGACGACCGTCGCATACAATCGCCTGAACCTCGCCCGCGGACCCCGCAGGTTCGGCATCAGGCGCCCTAACGATGCGCTCGCGGATCTTCGGTCCGAGGAGCGCGAGGTGTTGCCCGAATTCGGCGCGATTGTGAACCTCCGCCCACCCGCGTCCGGTCGCGAGGAGCAGGGTGTCGTTCGCGTAATAGATGGGGGAGCGACCTTTGGGAAGGACGTTCCGGGATATTCCAGACGAGCGGTCCAAGGACCGACCCCTGGTGTACGCCAGCAGAAAAAGTCCGCCGTTTCCATCGTTCCGTCCGGCTTCTCGTACAAAATCTTCCTCTCCGAAAGGAAGGACCCTACCAACGATAGGAAATAGTCGGGAACGGACTTCGAAACCAGTCTGTCCCTTATCCCGGATCATGGAACGAAATTAAAGGTGTTTTTCACGTCGATGAAAACCGCGATCACGACTCTGCCCGAGCGTAAAGTTTCCTTGATCTCGTCTCGTCTCGTCTGAACGAGTGCGTCGATCGTGGAACGGCCCGCCCGGAAGCCGTACCGATCGGGAGAGAGGTCATTCTTCCCTCCGTCCGATTGACGATGACCGATTATCCGCGACGCCACGACGCGCTCGAACAACTTTCCCTTCACGTCAAGAAGGCAAATCGGCCGATAAGCGACGGGCGTCGACGAGTCCCTACTCGGTTTTTCGTGCAACACAAAGTTCGCTCGCCTCCACTGCTTCGGAAACGACGCCTCTTCGAAATACGCGGTGTAGAGCGACAAAGACGCGACACATCACCCTGGCAGATCTGCCGAGGATCCGATAATGCACGCGTCGGTTCGAGCCCGGAGCCGAGCGCTTCT